GGGAGGAGTGTTAGGTCCCTGGGGCGCGATCACTCCTCTGTTTACTCCTCAGATTGTCCCGGCCTGGCAGGCATTCATGAGTTTGTTTTTCCTGTCCCAAGGTTGCCCTGGTGCTCTGCAGTGACCGGCAGGGCTGAGATGATTATACAACCTGCGCTCTCGGCCAAGTCCGGCACTGGTCCTGGCTGTTGGCTAAGCCTGTGCTGCTGTGGGTGAGGGAATCACTCCTCTCCAGCTGGCTTTCTCACGCCGGAGAAGCCTGACCTTTATTCAGAATCATCCTCCAGCGCCTGCATCACACAGCACCCTGGCTCACCCTCCCCTCCCCCAACATGTCCTTTACATTCTCATCTGGGGACGTAATGGGGCTCCAGTGTCCCCAAGACAGCGGCTTCTCCCTTCTTCTTCATTCTTGATAACTCTCTGTTCTCCAGAGGTGCTGCTTAGACTCTAGAGGGATACATGAAAGGGCGGTAAGGTGACAAAGAAAACAGCTGGGTTCAATCCTGGCTGCATACTCGGTGTGGGACAGAACAACTGCTCTACCTTTAAAGTTATATATCAGGATAATATACAGTATTTCATTTATATATACATACATTTATAATAAGTAATAAATTTTTGTAAAGTTGTGAGGATGGTAAAAGCTTAGCCCAGTGCCTGGCACCCACAGGTGCCAGCTGGCATCATTAGCAGTCATAGGAAAACTCAGGGTATGTCTCCATTCCAGGCTTTGTGGCCTGTGGGTCTCAGTGTCCCCGTTGTCCTGTGGGGTTGCTGAAAGCTGTCCTCATAAGGTTGTGAGGGTGGGAATATGAGAGGCGTTTGAGAAAGCCGAAGCCCACCAGGTCAACAGCTGGACTGAGCTCTCCCCTTGTTCCCTGGGCCATGTGCAAGCTTTGGGCCTGGTGGTGACACCTACCCCTCCATCCCACCGGGCGGACCCAGCTGACCCTCCCAGTGCAGGGGCTGGGAAGCTGCAAAGAACCCTTAAGCTCAGAATTTCCAGCTGTCAGCACGTCCCCCTGCCGTGTCTCATTTATTTTTCTCTATCTCCTGTTCCATCTCCCCTTCCAGCACCTTCTGAAACTCTCTAGTCTTGTACTACCAACACACCAACCTTTGCTTAATTGTCACATCAGACAGATGGCCCAGGTGTCTCCAGCTCCCTGAAGCTCTTCCCTTCCCCTCCCCTGGGCTGGGGCCTCAGGCCTTCCTCTGACTGATCCAGCCCACCTCCCAGTGTCCATACTATTAGGTTGGTGCAAAAGTAATTGCGATCTGCAATTACTTTTGCAGCAACCTAATAACTTTTGCACAGCCAAGATATCTTCTGCCATCTACTCAGTCTTCCCTCCTGCTCTCTGGGGCTTTATTTTTTCTGTTCTTTCTGTTTCTTGCTGCCCATGGTGCCCCCACCTCCTGTGTCTGAAATGCTGCCCTCTCCTATCCTGCCCAGATGCCTCTTCCACCAAGCTTTTTCAACTGCCACATCTGGAATAATACTTGTATGCAACTTTAAGATCTCTCTTTCTTTTTTGATCTTTTAATTTTTTTTTTTTTTTTTTTTTTTTCTCTTTTGGTTATTTGCTACCATGTTCCTTAAGGAAAAGATTCTCCCCTCACAATGCCTAAGCAGCTTGGATCATGGAAAGAGCTTGGGCTTCTCTCCACACTTCTGTTCTCCCATCAGTAAAATGGGGATAAGCGTTGTAAATAACCAACCCTCTTAAGAGTTTCTGTAAGGCTTGGCCGGGCACAGTGGCTCACGCCTGTAATCCCAGACCTTTGGGAGGCCAAGGCGGGTGGATCACCTGAGGTCAGGAGTTCAAGACCAGCCTGGCCAACATGATGAAACCCCATCTCTACTAAAAATACAAAAATTAGCCAGATATGGTGGCAGGTGCCTGTAGTCCCAGCTACTCCAGAGGCTGAGACAGGAGAATCGCTTGAATCCAGCAGGCGGAAGTTGCAGTGAGTTGAGATCGCGCCATTGAACTCCAGCCTGTGGGACAAGAGCAAGACTTCAACTCAAAAAAAAAAGAGTTGTTGTAAGGCTTGAAGGAGGCCTTTGGCATGAATATCACCTGCCTCAGGGCTCTGCACATTTTTTTCTTTTTTGAGACAGAGTCTAGCCCTGTCACCCAGGCTGGAGTGCTACGGCGTCGTCTCGGCTCACTGCAACCTCTGCCTCCCAGGTTCAAGCGATTCTCCTGCCTCAGCCTCCTAAGTAACTGGGATTACAGTCACGCACCACCATGCTCAGTTAATTTTTGTAGTTTTAGTAGGGACGGGATTTCACCATGTTGGCAAAGGTGGTCTCAAACTCCTGACCTCAGGTGATCTGCCCACCTTGGCCTCCCAAAGTGCTGGGATTATAAGTGTGAGCCACTGCGCCCTGCCAGCTCTGCACATTTTGAGGAACCAATGAATAAATGATTGAATGATTGAATGCATAAAGGCCTTTACTGTTCTACTTGAAGTTGTCAAAATGGATAGGTTTTTGCTGTAGCCCTCACCACCCCTCCTAATGCCACATCAGCAGCATGGCATATGCACCTGCAAACCCAGACTCTGCATCAGGTTGCCAGGTCACCTAAATGACAGCTGTGAATTCTTCTAGAACAGGGGTCAGCAAACTATGATCCACAAGTTAAATCCAGTCTACTGCCTGTTTTTGTATAGTTTGCACACTAACCATCCTTAGATGGTTGCTGCATTTTAAAATGGTTTTTACATAGAAAATGTTACATTTTTCAATGTAAATGTAAATTAAATGCAAATAGAAACATTTACATTTTTACATGTTTAAAATAAAAAATCACAGGAAGTATAATTTTATAGCATGAAAATTATAGGAAAATCTAACATTAGCATTTATAAATAAAGTTTTATTGGCACACAACTATGCTCATTCATTTATGTATTATCTACACAAGCTATAGTTGGTGTGTGCAGAGCTTTCACTCAATGATGGCACAGTTGAGTAGTTTCAACAGAGATAGGATGGCCCACAAAACCAAAATATTTACTACTTGGCCCATTACAAAAACATTTTGTGCTGATCCTTGGTCTATGAAACAGGAGCAATGACAAATACCTGCCCATCGTGTGTGGGTAAAATGTTAACATGCTTGATATCTAGTGGGCACTCAAGAAAGGTTTTTTCTTCTACTCTCTGTTCCTGCCTGTCTTCATTCCCTTTCACAGAGCGCTCTTTTATTTCAGGGTCCCAGCCATGTAAAACCATAAGAAAAAGGATAGCAGGGAGACTCTGAACCACTGCCGTGCCCATACCCAGCCTCGAAACAGCAGAGCTGTGTTTGTCAGCTCCACCTTCCTGCTCCAGAGCCTCCCCCAGACCTCTCAGTCTATGGGACTGTTGGCGGACAGGCAGAGTTTAAATCCATTGCATCTTTTGCATCTCTTGGTTCCAGATATGGATGGGGCCAGCCCTGCATGGCCTGCCCCGGAGAGCGCTTTTATTAGGTTTATCTGAGGCTGGACAGCTTCCACTGCATCTTTTCTTGCTTTGGGCATTAAAACTTGTTGCTGTTGTGTAAAAGATTGCAGCTGCAGTTTGACTTGGCTGAAAATGAGATGCAGCCTCTGGGCTGAAATTGAGGGTCCTGATTCTGCTTTGAGAGATGGTATGGCACCCTGAAAAGAACCGAGATTTGGAATCTGGGCTGGAATCCCAGCTGTGCCCCTCACAAGTTCTAGGATTCGTACCTTTTTCTTTTTCTGAAAAGTGGAGGTGATGCTTTTTCCTGGGGTGGGGGTGGGGTGTTGGCAGGATTCTCCACCATGTAAGCTTGAGGGAGCAGGGTTTTGTCTTTTTCTGTACTGAAGCCCAGCTTCTAGAACAGTGCCTGGCCTGGAGTGAGCACTCAGCAAATACCTGCCTTAGAAAGGAGATTAAAAGATGTAGAGTTCCTGGCACACGATAGAATCTCATTAAGTGGTCACATTGCCATTGTCTGTACTCGACCAGGAATTGGCACACTATGGCTCACAGCCTGTTTTTGTAAATAAAGTTTTATTGGAACATAGCGATGTCCATTTCTTTACATATTGTCTGTGGCTGCTTTCCTGCTGTAGTGGGGGAGTGGAATCGTGAGGCAGACCTGTGCCCTGCCGAGCCTAAAATATATACTGTCTGGCTCTTTACGGCAAGACTTTGTGGTTTCTGCTCTGAATGTCAGGGTGACCCTGTTTGAGGATGATCACGGATTTCATTTTCCCTCGTTGGTTAGTGTTGCGGTCAGTCACAGTTGAAAACAAGGAACCAGCTTGAGGTACGCATTCTTGATGCCCTTTCTAAGATATTTATGGAGGCTTTTCTTTTCCACTCCAATTCCACCAGACTCTTTCGGCATGGTCAGAACTGGCTTCTTTGTGCCCTCCAGATCTCATATGTAAGATGGTGTTACTTTCATTTCTGTGTAAAAAGAAACTCAACCCACCTGTCAATTGCTGGTATATTCATTAGGGATTAACCATGGGTCCTGCAACAAGTAGGCTCAGGGCACAGAGGACATAAGTTAAGATAAAAAAGAAAACCAACCAGGTGCAACTGTGCTTTGTAATATTAGAGAATAGAATGCTGGTGGGGTACGGGAAGGAGTCCACTGTGTTTGTGAGGCACAGGGTACAGAAGATTCTGATTTACTTTTCCATCATGGTGAATGGCATGATCTTAGACACCTTAGTTAGCTTTATTCAAACTCAGTTTTCCAATCTGTAAGATGGCAACATTCACTATATGTTGTCAATCTCTTTGACGGACAGGGCCCACAGTTAGGAGCCTCTCGAGACCTTGGTGTCTACAGTGGTGAAGGAGAGCTTTCTGGAATGAGCGAACATATGTCAGATGCTCTAAGGTCCTCATTAGAAGGGTGCCCTGTCCCCTGTACCAGCTGAGCAAGGCGGGTGGGCCACCATCCTGCTACCATTTTATAGTCAGTGGATCTTTTTTTTCTTTTTCTCTTTCTCTCCAGAAGGACAGAATAATGGGCTCCAGATTCGCAAGCCCCACCAAGAGGATCACCCCAGGAACCCTTGGAGGCTGAGGAGTTCACTGAGGCTAGTGCATCTTGAGACTCAGGATGAAGACCCAACTTGGGGCTGTCAAAGGTGCAGCCTGCCAGCTGAGACCTCCAGGGGTCAAGCCCAGGCCCCTTTGCCTTGTTCATGGCTTAGGCCAGTGCTTAGCATATGGCAAACAACTTGTAAATGTTTATGAGAGGATGTGGGGGGGTCATCCCTTTGGAATGGCACACTGTCCATTATCATTGTCCTCAGAGGCTCCAGCCTCAGGTGCTTCTTAAACTGCGATGGGAATGATGGCAGCAGGTGGGTCCAGGGCTCAGCATGAGAGCTCACAGCAGGCTGTGCTCCACCCCACCCAGGACCCTAGTCTTGCCATGTTTCCTCTGCCTCACCAGGCTGGCCTAGAAACTGCTTCCAACTGAAGCCAGCCAACATGCATGCCCCTAACCACACCTGCAACTCTAGGGTCACCATTAGTCTAGATCAGAGGTCCTTAAACTATAGCCTTTGCCAGGCACGGTGGCTCATGCCTGTAATCCCAGAACTTTAGGAGGCCGAGGCAGGTGGATCACTTGAGGTAGAAAGTTCGAGACCAGCCTGGCCAACATGGCAAAACCCCGTCTCTACTAAAAATACAAAAATTCGCCAGACATGGTAGCGCACACCTGTAATTCCACCTACTTGGAAGACTGAGGCAAGAGAGTCTCTTGAACCTAGGAGGTGGAGGTTGCAGGAAGCTGAGATCACACCACTGAACTCCAGCCTGGGCGACAGAGTGAGACTGCCTCTCAAAACAAACAAACAAACAAACAAAGAAACAAACAAACAAACACTACAGCCTTTGGGCTAAATCTGGTCAGTGTTCTGTGCTTGTAAGAACTCTGAGTGAAGAACAATTTTTATGTCTCTCTAAAGGGTTGAAGAATACAAAAAGAATATTCAACAGAGACCATCTGGCTAGCAAAGCCTAAAATATTGACCCTCTGGTCCTTTACAGAAAAGGTGTGCCGGTCGCTGGACTGGGCAGTGCCGACCGCACCCCGGGCTCCCTGTGAAAATTTCACCCACACAGACTCATTTCCTTTCTCTTATCAACACTGAGGCAGGTGAGATTATCATTCCTTGTAAACGTGGAGAAACTAAGGCACGGAGAAGTTTAACTCATTTACCTGAGAATCTATTAAGTAACAGAGCCAGGGTTCCAACCCAGGCCGTCCAGCTTCAGAGTCCATACCTCCTAGCTGCACTCTGGGCCATCAGCGTAGGGATGAGCTTCAGACAAGAACTCCCCTCTTAGCTTCTGCCCTCTCCTGCCCCACAGCCAGTGGACAGGCATTTTGCACCCCAGTCTGCCCCAGCCAGCTCCTCCTCAGAGATTTCCTGCAGGGACTTAGACGGGGCTTTGGGACCACCCTCCTTTTCTGCCCCACCCAGCACCTAGAACTCTGCTTGATCCTGCTCCCTCTAAGGCTGGACACGTCTCCATGAGCCAGGCCTGAAGTTGTTCCCCTCTCTGGACCTCAGGACCTCCCTTTCTAGGAGCAGTTCCTGTATCCCCTCTCCTCTCTGCCTTCCCCGCTTCCCACCATGTCCTTCCAATAAGGGACTGGATTTGTAGTGTGCAGCCTTGGGAACAGGGTTGGGCTCAGGGGTTGGGAGCAGAGGCCCAGGGCTCTGGCTGACCCTCTCTCATCCCAGGAGGAGAAGCTGCTGTATTTAGAGTGTCACAAAGAACAGTGTTGGAGGCTTCAGAAACCATGGGAGATTCTGAACTTCTAGGCTGAGCAGATGGGATGGTGCCTCTGTGATCAACAGGCCTGGCAGAGGGGTGCAGGAGGGGGTGAGAATGGAAAGACAGCTGCCAAGGGGAACAGAGAGCTTTTCAAGTCACCCTTGTCCCCTCCCCCCCTCATCATCAGGGCTAAGACTAAACCTCACCATCCGGTTGCAGCCCCTCGGCCCTGGGGATGGAGATTAGTGTGCATAGAATGAAGGTACAGAGGCCGTGTTCTGGCTGTGTGACCTTGCACAGGTTACATAACACTCTGTGCCTCACTTTACTCATTTTTAAAATGATGAAGATGATAACTACCTGGCAGGGTCTTATATTAGAGATAATACGGTTCCCGGCACTTTGTAAGCACTCGGTGTGAAATTGTCTTCTGCTGCTCCCCTTCATCAGTCCACCCCTCCTCTGCAGAGGTTTCCTCCATGCTGAGCAAGCTGGCAGTAACTAAGTCCCTGCTGGGCGCATCCCTAGTGTCTTCTGCCCAGGCCTCGGGACCCCCAGGGATCCTGGCCCCTGTGGACAGGGACTTTTGTACTCTCCTTCACTGTTACCAGCAAGAGTGAGTCCTGCACTGAATTTCCACGGGATCATTGTTTGCTAACATTTGTGCGTGAGTTACTGTCTAGAAAGCAGCTTTTCTGGCCTTTTCCCATTAATTTCACGAAAGTTATCTTCCTTTGCCCTTACTGCAGTCCTGTGAGAGGTTCATTACCCCATTTTACAAACAACTAATGCTCCGAGATGAAGTGACTCCCCCGGGGTCGCCTAGCTAAGCAGTGGAGAGTGGGTCTCCCACCTGGCCCTCTCACTCTGACTCCTGTTCTCTGCGTCATTGCATATGGCGACATGTGGGTCACGTTTTCACACATCCCTAGCTGATATGGAATGGTGAGCTTCTCCTGGGTCTTCCGAGGAAGGATGTTTGCAGGGGTGTTTTGGAATGAAGGCAGTGGAGGCCAAGAGACCTCTAGGTCAAAGCCAGGCAGGAGGGTCCTCTCAGGGACCCAGCCAACAAGTTGTATTTCTCCCTCAGAGGCTTGAAGAGGCAGAACACCCGAGAGGAGTCTGGGGCCACCACCCAGCGTCACTGTGGGAAAACGGCAGCAGGAAATGTCGTCTCACCTGCGTGCTCCACCTCTGTCCACACCTTCCCTCCTTCTGGAAGCCTTGCCTGACCACTGGCCTGCCCCTTCTATGGGAATCGCTGCTGACCTTGCAGCTCACTGTAGACTTATATGTATGCAGAAATATAATTTTAATTACTTTTGTATTGCTCCAAGAGTGATACCGAATCACGACAGAAAATTTAAATAAACAAAATAACCAAGTTAATACAAGCAATCACTCCAGTCAAATACACCCAGCTCACATTTTGATGTAAAATCTTCCAGTACATTTCCTATGTACATATATATTTTTAGGAAGGAGATTATATTTTACATGCTGTTTTCTAAAACGTTCTTTTAAAACTGTGTCATAAACATTTTTCCTTATAATTAAATTGTCTTCTACAACAAAATTTGCTAATGAATTTTTTTTTGTATCACGGTCACTGTTGTGTTATGTACATCTTAGTTTAGCATCCTCAGTTACATTGTAAGCATTTTAAGGACTCAGTTTCCCCAGCCAGCCTCAGGATGGGTTTGTTCATTGATTGATGGCTGTGTGGGGTGGAGGAGGGAAGTAGAAAGTGAGTGAGATTTGGGTAAGCAAACCTGGGTTTAAATGCTGAGTTTGCAAATTCCGTAAATTCTGCTTCTTTCCCTTCCTCCCTACCTCCCTCCCTCCCTTCCTTCCTTCCTTCTTCCAGCCTTCCTTCCTTGCTCCCTCCATTCCTCCCTCCCTTCCTTCCCTGCTTGCTGAAACAAATGCCTTGTTAGATATTTTATATAGTCCTGTAAATATGCACTCATTTAAATATCATGTGGGCACCTCCTCTGAGTGGCCCTGAGCTTGGTTCTGGGGATGTGGCACTGCACAAGAGAAACCAGGTCTCTGCTCTCATGGAGCTTGATGCATCCAGTTGGGGGCACAGACCCAAATCAAGCCAACAGACAAAACCTAAGCAGGCTACTAACTGTGTTTAAGTACAGCATCCACATGGACGGGAACGAGAATTACAGGGGACCACACTTGAACTGGGGTCCAGCAAAGCCCTCTCTGGGGAGGTGACAGTCAAGCCCAGACCTAAAGAAGCCTGCTGCAGGGAAGATGGAAAAGACGTTCTGACAAAGCCCTTGAGATCGGGAAGGCTTTGGCTTAGATGAGGAACTTCAGTTGGTCATCCCCTCTCTCATCCACCCTATTGAAACCACCTTTGCAAAAAGTATATCAGTGAGAAAATTATTTGCAAAAAATTTTCAAAAGGTGTATCAGCGAGAAAATTGTAACAGTAAGCTAAGCTAACCCAACCTCCATCTTGCCTTTCCCTTAATTATTCCTGGGCTATTGGGTCAAGCTAACTTTAGAAGATATTTAGGCTACAGTTTAAATGATAATAGGCCTTGCCCAAAACTCAACCACTTTTGTAAAGCTAATAGGGGACCATCAGGGTGTGGGGAGAAGAGCCTGAATCCTACTAAGGTGCAGACATTATTCCGGAGGTTATAAGATATGCAACTTTCCCAATACAACACTACTATTATAGATTGGCCTTTTGAGATATCTTTCCAGGTTTTTTGCATATTTGACACCCATGGCTCCACCTGGACCTGATGGCTCCACCCAGAAGCAATTCAGCCCCACAGGAGGACAGCTTCAACCCATTACCATTTCCTCTCTGCCCCAACCAATCAGCAGCAAGCACCTGTTACCTGTCCACCCCCACCCCTTCCCCCAAACTGCCTTTGAAAAATCCTTAACCTATGAGCTTTGAACAAGATGATATGAGTAGGAACTCTATCTCCCATGTGGCGTGGCTGGCCTCGTGTCCATTAAATTCTTTCTCTACTGCCATGGTCTGTCTTTATGCAGTGGGCAGGAATAACCCCTTGGGCGGTAACAAATTTGGGGTCTCATGTGGGATTGTACTCTTGGCTACCTGTGCATGGTTCGGTAGCCCCTTGTTGGCAACGGACCTGGAGGCCAGCCCAAGCGGCTGCCTAGTTCTCCTGGCAGAGAGATGGGGGCTGACTCTGGCGCCATCCCTAGTGGCGGGACACTGCTGACCACGGTGCACGGATGCAGTGGGCAGGAAGAATCCCTTGGGCAGTCACGCTATCTATCCAGTCCATCTGTCAAATGTATCCAGACTATGACCTCCTCTCATTTCTTGGTCAAAGACACCATCATTCCTGCCTGGAATTTTTGTAACAGCCTCTGGGTTGGTCTCCCAGCTTCTGCCTTTGCCTCTCAATCTGTCCTCAAAACAGCAGCCAGGGTGATCCTTTGAAATGGCAGCCAGAGCACATAAGCCCATTTGCTTCAAAACCCTCAAAGGGTTCCATCTAATTTGGAGTAAAAGCCACAGGCCTCACCGTGGCCTGCGAGGCCCATGGGATGCAGCCCTGTGACATCTCTGATCACGTCCTCTTCCTTTCCATCTCATTTCACCCTGGCATCCTGGTCCGTTTGTCATAACTCAGACCCTCCAGCCATAATTCTGCCTCAAGTTCTCTGCACCTGCTGTTTCCTCTGTAGCCTGTCTGTCTACTCCCTCATCCCTTCTCAGTCTTTGCTCAGGTATCTTCATTTCCATGAGGCCTTCCCTGGCCACCAAATTTAACACTCAAACTTCCCCACATCCCATGAAGCTCACTATGCTCTTTGCTGGTTCTCTTTTCCTCCATTGTTCTTGGTGTCTCCTACTGGGTCCTACAATTAATTGTCTGAGTTGATTTATTAGTTTCTCCTACTCCCCTGGAATAGAAACTTCAGGAAGGCAGGGAGTTTTGTCTTATCTCTTTCCAAGAAAAATATTTGTGACGTGGTAGGCACTCCGTAAGTATTTGTAAAACAAATGACTGGACTCCCTTATACCAAAGATATACCAAAGGCAGTCTGCACAGAAAACAAATCTTGACTTTAAGCACAAACCTTTTGATATACATATATATGTCCAAGGTTTCCTTTTTTTGTTTTTTGTTTTTTTTTTTTTTTTTTGCAGAGAAGTGCCCTTTCTGGTTTCCCCTGCTGCCCATCGGGATGCACTCAGGCAGCAACTGTGCAGTAAATGGGACACCTTTAGCCTCTGGTTTCCCAGAGCAGAGAGCTGTCAACACCCTAAGCTATTTTTGCCTCACCTCTGGTGCTCTGGAGTGGCAGGCCAGTCACAGGTATGGTGCATCAGACTATGAAGAGGCAGCGTGGCCACAACTCTGTGCCGGGATGCTGACCTCTTTGAGGCAAACAGCATGAGCTGGAAAAAGTTATCTCAGAGTTAAAAACTGGTGAATTCCCCCGTTGCTCTTCAGTATCTCCTGGGTCCGTATGATCTGACTGCCACCCACTATCCCTTTTCCTCACTGGGCTCCAGACACACTGGCTTCCTTCCTTCCTGAAGCCTCCATCTGCTGCCAAGCTCAGGGCTTCGTCAGATGCTCACCCTGCCTGTGCTGCTTCCTGCAGCGTGCTGAATTGTGTCTCGCGAAAGATATGCTGAAGTTTGAACTTCCAGAACCTGTGAATGGGACCTTATGTGTAATAGAAATAGGGTCTTCACAGATGCAGTCAAGTTTAGATAAGGTCACTCTGGATGAGGGTGGCCCCTAATCCACTGGCTGGTGTCCTGAGGACAGAGACACACAGTGGGGAGGCCTTGGGAAGGTGGAGGTAAAGGTGGGAATGATGCATCTCCAAGCCAAGGAGCACCGAGGATCGCTGGCAACCACCAGACGCCAGGAAGAGGCAAAGAAAGGTTCTTCCCTACAGCCTTCAGAGGGAATACGGCCCTGCTGACACCTTGATTTCAGACTGCTAGTCTTCAGAGCTGTGGAAAAACACTTTTCTGTTATTTTAAGCTCCCCAATTTATAATATTCTGTCATGGCAGCCCCAGGAGACCAATACATTCCTTTCTCCTCCTTCAGTTCACACCTCCAGTGCCATCTCCTTGAAGAGACATTCTTTAACTCCCAGTCATTACTAGGTTCCCAAGTTCTACACCTTTTGCCCTGTAACCTATTCCCATGGGAGATTCTCTTTTGGTAGCCTCCCCCGACAGTGTAAGCCCCTTTGTGTTCAGGTTGCTCACTATGGGTCCTTAGTCTCTGAGGGCGTCTTCAGCACACATTGTGTGAGCAATCAATTTTTGTTGAATGAATGCATTGCAATCTGGAGTGAACCTTCTGGGCCTCAGAAGCATCTTGATTTGATTCTGTCTGTGTGTTATAAGATCCCAGTCAGAAGGTTGCCCTGGGTGCTTCCCCTAGAAATCCTCAAAGTACAATTATTCAAATTGAGTCACTCAGCCCATGGTACCCTACGGTTACAGATGACACAAGAAGCATGAGAACCTCTGAGGACTTTCCAAGCCGGGGTCTGTTCTTACTGTTTAGCATGAAATGTGTTTTCCTGCTAAGAACATGAACCAGAAATGAGTTTTACCAAGTGGTTAGCAAGACCTTAAATAGAAAGGAAACTCCAAAAAATGTAACTTCTCTCACACTTAAGCCTCCTTTTCAACTTCCCTTTCCTGCTTCCCATCACTAGAACCTCCAGATCTTATTTCCTGGGTTATGATGAATGGTGGCCCCTATTTCAGACCTCCCCGAATTCTGCTGAACTTCCCCTCTTTGGGCTTTAAACAGAGATGTGTGGTAAGTGCCTCTAGAACTGACATCTCCTGTGAGGCCCTTCTCTTACATGCTAGGTAGGTTTGGCCTCTGATGGATTCAGAATGGTCTTTCTTGAGCACCTACTAAGTGCTAACTTTTACACTAGGTAGTTTGACACTCTGTAACTTCTTTTTCATTTACTCTGTTCCAGAAACTTATGTTCACTGTGATGTGATCTCGCTTTTGATCCATTTTACTGATGAGGAAATTGAAGCTCAGAGAGGTCAAGTAATTTGCCTAAGGTCACACAGTTAATAAATGGTAAAGCCATTTTCAATTCTACATCTGCTTGACTCTAAAGTTGGAGGTTTTTCTCTCCTACCTTTTACAACTAAAAACCCACCCTAGCTAGAAATGGCAAGGGGCTTTATTGTAAGGATTTGGGCTGTGCCTGGGACTGCCTGGTGGTTATCCAGCAGCCTCATACGAGGAGTTTAACTGTTGGATTTATGGACTTGGGACCGTTGGTATGTGCTCAGCACATGCCACAGACCTGGCAAGCATGCTGGCCTGGGGGTCATCGGCTCTTGGGGCTGTGTTTTCTGATTAAGGGACATTAGGCTAGCCACTTCCCACATCCAGCTTCAGTTTCCCCAGCTATAAAATTAAGACATAGATATGCTTTCCACGCTGCCATCCTGCCGTGATAATCGGGGATTTTAGCATCCCAGGGCTATAATGACCCATACTTCTATACCCCTCAAACTCCTGCCTTTCTATCCTATATGGAGCCATGGCTTGCATAAA